CCTTCGGGAGGTGATTAGTGTTGCTGATCATATTTCCATTTGTTCCCCGTTGGCAATTCAATTTCTGACCACTGTTTGTACACTTGCGAGGTCAGTATAATTGCGGCTGAGTTACTCGGTTGACAGCGACACGGGTTTTGAAGAGGAGAGAGTTGGTTCTTATTCTATCTTAACAATCGTAACTAATTTCTAGTAATGATCCAGACCAAACAAAATTACTCAAACAGGGTATCTCAACAATCACATCATCTCATCTCATCTCGTTTCGTCATCATCATCATCATTATCATCGTAGTTCGTCGTCCTCGTCCTTTCTCTTCCCCCGTTCATCGTCCCTTCTTCACTTGCCAAAACGAAAATACTGGTGCCACTCCTCCACCCTGCACCCATGCATCCCATCTTTGCTCATCCTCATCCTCCCCCAGATGCTCTCGTCCCCATTGTCCCCGACCGAAAGAATTGTCAATATAATACACCGGCACTCGTGCAGTAACCGGCTTCAACGTGCCATTGGCATAATGCTGGTCATTATTCTTCTCCACCAACCAAAACTTCCTCAACTCCCCCAAAGGAGCACGAACGAAACTGGTTTGGTCCAGCATAACCTTGATCTCAGTGATGCTCGGATGAGCCATCACAGCCAGAGAGAGAGGCGAAGGAAGGCGTTGTTGGCGAGGAGGAGCGTTCGGTGACTGGATAATTTGTTGGCCGGGAGAATGCATAATCATTTGAGGCATCAGGACGCTCCGAATTGCCAGATTTGGTAGACCCTGCGACGGGCCACCGCGAGCGAACGATGATAGTTCGGTCAGAGCGAAGAGGAATTCGTTGGGAGAGGGGAAGTTGGTGAAGTAAACTGTGTCGATGTTGAAGTTTACATAGACTTTTCCGAAGAAGGGAACGGCGAAGTAGGGGCGGCAGCGGAGGTTGGTGTTGACCAAGGTGTAGTGCTTCAACGCTTCGTGGCGGGATTCGGACGAGGCGTAGAGGATTGCGGGGGTGGGAGTCGTGGTTTGGAGGTGGTAGAGGGATTGTGGGTGAGGGAGGTAGAGACGGGAGCGGAGGGATTGGGTTGCGCGGATTAGACGTGGTTCTTCAGCAGCAAGTTTCCAGATCATGATGCGAAGTTCAGGGGGAAGCTCGTCAAACCTGCGGAAGCTCTTTGGTACCATGGTTGCGGTGCTATTAGTGCTCTTGTCTGGTGTTGTGAGGGGCGCGTCTGGAGGTTCTGTTGTGGACGAGAGGATTTGTTTATGTTGTGTGCCGAAACCAATTCGAAATTGTCAAAAGAGAAAAGCTGCACAGAGAGTCATCACATCAAGAGAGAGAACAGCGACAAGTGATACAAGTAAATTAAATGGATCGAGAAACTAAATGGCCGTCTCTTATTAACTGTGTAGTTCATGAACGATTTTCGATTTTCAAGTGTTTATCACAGATAACTATGGTCATAGACTTCTAGGATTGACAGTAGAGGAAGCAAAACAAAAAAGACTTCACTAAACGCTACCAAGCATGTACTTCATCTTTTCAGTGATTTTTTTGGTATCACAACGAGGAGAGTATATAAAATCCTGCCGCTTTCATGGTGAAACATTCCTGATGAATTTCGAAAGGGGGGCTCGGTTATCCGAAGCGAGCCGCCACCTTTCACGAATCACAATGACATGGCCTACTATTTCTTCATAGACATTAGTTGAATAAAGCGTAATAACTGATTGATGCACCCAAATTTCTACCAGAATTATCGTAAATCGTGTATTAAACGATCCTTATTACCAAAAGTTCAAGTGTTTGTCACCGGAATCAGGTGGTAGCTTAACCTTGCTCTTGCCCAGCGTTGCCGCAGTATTTAAATTGCACAGTGCCAAGTAATTTTCTTTCTCATGTTGAATAATAAGCTGTTAGCTCATATTGTATAGACAGGAATATTGTGTAAATGGGCACATGCCTCAGCACACCGACATGGGCAGCTGGATTGCAGTTTTAGGCCGTCGCCTGCAAGACGCCTTCTCCATTCGGGCATCACACTATTATATGACCAAAAGCTTACCAAAACAGCCTTAACCACAACATATCATAAGCCTTATATCAGCGATTGATTCAATTGATGAGAGCGCACTTTTGTATGAGAGTTGCCGTATTTCAGAAACTACACGTAGGTGAAAGACCTAGCGTTGATCGAATACTACCGATCAATTTTCGGCAAAATAAGGCTGCCCAGTCAATGAAATGACGCGCTAGCAAAACGCATATATAAGCAAATTAAGCGATATTCCTATACCTTTTCGACCACCACACCATTTTGTAGTGTGGAGTGCGACCGTGGGCGCTGGATCTCCTCTACGGGATTGAGCTGGCTTGACTCGATCTAACTCCCTACACGATCTGAGGAGAGGGTGTGTATTTAATATTTTTGGTTGTAGAAACTATGTAGCGTTTGCACGATTTCACATTCACGCAGATGGAATATTTAAGTATGTGTTTCAACACTGAAATTGTATATATACATAGAAATTTATCCTATCCTAAAACTTTTCCGCACCAAAAAGATATCAAACCCAATGAATGTAAGAATCGAAGACGCGCCCTCAGCACTATTCTACAAGCCGTCAAACCTCAAACACCACCGTTTACGAGACAGTCACATCAGAGCCGTAGATACAGTATGTGCCGTCGTTGCCAGATCCGTTTTTAGTTGGTTCCTCAGAGTTGTCGTCAGTTCCGGTGAAGGTGACGCAGACGTCATCGACGCCGGTGACGACCGAGTTGGTGATTGTGGCAGAGTCGCCGTAGTTGGAGTTGATACCTGGATTACGTTAATCCTTGATTTGAAGAAAAGGGAAAGAAAGAACATACCAGCGACCATAGATCCGTCAGTAGCAGAAAGACCGTCAATGATAACGTGACGCTCATACATAGAATCGCAGTTACCACAAGATCTATACAGCTTTCCGAAAGTGTCGACAGTGAAATCCGAAATAGAGACAGTTCCAGCACCATTGTGTTGCACAACCTTATCAGTAGCACCGAATGCACCACCACCAATCATCTTCGTCGTCTCACCAGCATCCTGGATCTTGACCGAGAAAGCATCTTCGCAGACAGCAGACCACCAGACATTGGTGAGTGTGCAGCCACCTTGGCAGTGGACACCTTCGATTTGGTTGGGGCCGATGATGACGTTGGAGAGAGATCCGCCGGCTTCGATGTTGAAGACTGCGTCGGAGTCGCCACCTTCGGCTTGTCCTGTGCACTCGACGCCACGATCGAACATGACCATTCCACCGTCAAAGGACTCACCTGCTGCGATTGTTTGGGCGGCGGAGAGGACGGAGGTACCAGAAGAGGCGGGGAGCGATCCACCTGAGGAGCCGGAACCGGAGGAGGAAGTGCCGGATGCCTTTGCGGCGCTTGTGGTCTTTGAGCCTCCGCTCTTGGCAGTTGAAGTGGCTGCTGATGAACCCTTCTTGGTTGTAGTGGCCTTAGAACCGGAAGCCTTTGATGTAGATGCGGCGGAGGAGTCGGAGTTGTCTGAGCTTGCCTCTGAAGTGGCGGCGGATTTGGCGGTTGTCTTGGTTGACTTGGAGGATTTGGATGTTGTGGCTTTGGCAGCTTGCTTGAGGCTAAAGCCTGCTGAAGGGGCGGAGGAGGCGTCTTCGTCGCAATCACGGGCGGCGAGAGCGGCTTTGTTGGGGTTTGAAGGCGCGGCAGTGACGCCGAGAGCGAGAGCCAAGATGGCGAGGTTGATTGCTGAATACTTCATTGTGAAAGGGTTGATTTTGATTCAAAGAGTTTGAAGTGGTGAAAAGTTGGATAGAAAGATAGGCAATGCTCAGCAAGTGCAGAAAGAATGATGCTCGCAGAGCTTGTGTTGTGTATGAAAGTGTTGAAAGAACAGGAATGAAGTGAAAGCTAAATGAGCTGATGATGAAAGGAAGCTATAGCAGGAATCCTACTTCATATTTGTAGTCCTCTCACCTGCTATCTCGATTTCCAGATCCCGGATCTTGATTCTTGCGGCTCAGCGAGGGCGTCGTCCACCTCTCCATAGAAACCATATCTTCGAAACAGAAAAGTGGTTTGGGAGTGATTGGTCAATTATTCTGCGAATGATTAGATGGATTGCCAAGTGTAGATCTGCTGCAGCTTTCCAGTACAGAATTCAAGCATCTTTCGCAAGAAACGTGACAGTGTGCTCTTTAGATGTTGCTGCCAAGAGCGGGGTCTACCTCCACATAGTGCTCTCGTCTGATTCTTCTTGTTCTCTGGTGTTCGATTGTCGGGCCATGGGATGGCACCTGCTGTTGATATCCTTATGTGGGAAGTTCTGTCATGCCTTAAGCTTAAGTTTTGTCTCTCAAATCCCCTTCCTTGGACGGAAAATATTCTCCATGAATCCCATGAAGTTATCAAGCTCTACAGCACTTTGCTTGAAGGCGTTCCTGTTTCGGCAACCCCATCGCGCTGACGAGAGCTGCCCAATTGTCGTCCCTGATAATTTTGAAATTGTTTGCTTCCTCTTGGCATATTCGTCACTTCCTCCCAGTGTTCGTCGTCTTGAAACACAGAACTTCTGAATGTGGTGCTGCCAAGAAGCGCGCGGTACTTGGCGCCAAGTGTTCCGAGGCGAGGGGGAAAAATAAAAGGGGCTGTATTCCTGGAAGCGAACGGGTGGCGTGTACGAAAATCGGCTTGGAATCGAGAGCGACGAATATAAACTTTTTTGATATTGCAACTTTCAACGACAGATTTCTCAGAATCAAGTTGGGCGTTCCCCATAAAGTGTTTGAGGTTCCTTTTGATTTTCTTAGTAAAGTTGAAGCAAGATAAAGCAATTGCAAGTGGGAAGGTGAGGATCTAGCCAAGTGTGGAGAAAGATCTCGCTTATCGGAATCGGTTGCGTTTTCGGCTTTGACCTTCACACCCACAAAGAATTAACAAAAATATAATATTCCCACATCAAAAAACGTTCAAAAACAGCAAAAAAAGAACCGTTTTGGAGACGCGGGGGATTGAACCTGGGCTTGTTAGAAGATATACTCGATATTTAGACTAGTTTTGACTTACCCCGGACCTCATGCAGATCTAGAATCTTGAAGATTGCTTGATGCAAAGCATGCATTCTACCACTGAAATACATCCCCTTAAACATGTGACTAAACATGTGTTTGTTGACGAGATTTGCTTAGTTGAATTTATATATGAATTGAGCTCTCGGGCCGAACAGAGCATCCACTTTCCTCAGGGAGAGGAGAATTAAGCGGCCGAAATAGACACTCACCAAACTTGACTCCCTCCACGAAAACAAATCAACAACATATTCGGCTTTTCTAAAAAGTAAATAGGAGGAAACTTTACCTTTTAAAGAATCAGTTCATAAAGTTTTATTGGTTGTTTATTCAAATTACTGTGGATGGCGGCGGGTTGAAAATCGGGTGAGCTGTGTCGAGTTTGGGTTGATAATTTCTCTGGTGAGGAGCCACTTTAGCGCCGCACGCTTTGTTATATGAGATGAATGCGCAACACTGTTAAGCTTCGCAAGGATTTATCTATCATTATTTATGGTAATAATCATGATTACACCGAATTTCAGAATGGATTATTCATGAAAAATGAAATGTATGTGCATTTTGGTCTTCGAAAAAAGTATATACAAGAAAACTTTTGGGTCCGCTTCATCAACTCGCGACTCCGACTACAATCACAAGCACTGAGAATACCAATCGTTTTGGTAAGTGCAAGTTGACCCAGAGACACAGCTTCCTGTTCCAGTCCATCCACTGCCTCCACACTGACCCCATTTCGTGATTGTTCCGGTTGAACTTCCACTGGTGGCAGTCGAAGCAGCTGAGGAAGTTACGGCAACTGCTGAAGACTTGGTGCTTGTAGCCAAAGTTGTTGTAACTGCCGCCGACGAACTTGCGCTTGTAGCCAATGTAGTAGAAACAACCTTCACTCCTGAAGTTGTGCTAGTCACGGCTTTGACGCTTGAAGTAGCTGTGCTGGCGCTTCCTCCCAAAACGGCAACAACTGCGGCGTAAGCTGGGTGCTTGGTATAATCCTCATACCACAAACAAGCCTCTCCTGCCCCAGAGAATGTTGAAGGAACCCAAGAATATTTATCCGTGAAATCCCAGATAGTGATACCAACACAATCAGTGACTGCAAGGCAAGCTGAAACAGTGTTGGCGTAATCGGTCGATTGTTGTGACAAGCCAGCGTCAGTTGGTGGTAGCGATGAAAATCTGACGTCAAGCTCGGTGTATGCGACTTCTACGCCAAGAGCAGTGAAGGATTCGAGGTTGGCGGTTTGTGTTGCAAGACTTGGTGTAGAGCCGACAATAAAATGTGCTTGCATCCCAACTCCATCAATTTGAATCCCACGAGCTTTGAGGCTCTTGACAAGATTTAAGGCAGCCGTGGCTTTATTGCCTGCAGACTCGATGTTGTAGTCGTTGTAGTATAATTTCGCAGTCGTGTCGTACAGAGCAGCGGTCTCGAAAGCGATGGGGATGTATTCTGGTCCAATCTAGAACTGTTAGCTATGGTTCTAGTTGTCTTGCCGAATCTTGTGTTATTCTTACTGTACTGCGAAATGTTAGCAATCTTCTCAATTCAACGTTTTGCAGTCACTTACGTATAGAAGATATTTTCTCGATATGTTCCATCCTCGTTGAATGCTTCGTTCACCACGTCCCATGCATAACACTGTCCCTTGTAATGGGTGACCTCACTCTGAATATGCGCTTTCATTGCCGCGGTGAGAGTTGCATTCGTCCAAGTTCCAGAGCTGACTTTAAGAAAATCAGCAAATGCGCTTCCAAACGAACTCCATTTACATACTCCAACTTGGTAGCTGGGAATACCAAACCAGCGTATGGCATCTAAGCAATTGGCTGTTGTTGGCAGCCAAAGATGTGATCACATCTCCTTGTGTGTAACTGTAAGTATCCTGTGTTGGCTCGGTGTATTGCCATTTTTGAGTATTCCCAGGAGTGATCTGTCCAAATTCGCTCGTATTTGACAAAATTGAAAGATAAGTTGCATCAGTCAATTCTCCATTGTCTGTCGCTGTACCAAAATATTTTAATCCTTTCGCGACAGCTAAGGCATTAAGCTGCCCGAGCGCTTGAGGAAGCAGCGCAGCTGCCGATAGAAGAATAAAAGCATGCATATTGAAAATACAATTGTTAAAGAGCGACCGAAGTGAAAATAATTGGTGATCAGCTTGCCAAAACGAAACAAAAACGAGGGAGAATATTACTCTTTATGTTTCTTTAGATTGTTTCGAAGGAAATGACAGCCAGGAGGGTTACCATGTGAGAATCCGGAGGAAACAAGCTTTACGGAAGAACCTCCCCTTGTATTCATCCGTTAAGAGTCGCGTTTTCGTCCCAACTCATGCACTTTTGAGGCGGATAAATGAATGATGGCATGCTTTTGGTGGAAACGCATCGTTTTTGGGCCGTACCGAGATTGTTAAGGCGATGCTAAGGTGTTGAGTGGAGTCACCGAGAAGCTGCGCCGACTCTGTTTTGAGTTGATTGCTCCGTCGTTTATCTGAAGAGAAGTGTGGGGTATGAAAGCTGACCTCGATCCGAGGATTTGCCACCGTTTTGCGCCTCAATCCGAAAACAGTTGACAGATAGTCAGGTGACGGGCAAGTTTACCTAGGTATCATGCATTGTTTTCAGGAAGAATTGAAAGTAATATATCTATGGTAACTAAGTGGTATCTATCTATACTCAATCCGATGCGCTGGAAAAGTTCAAACTCAATGTTAATCGACAATGACCCTTCTAAAACTAATCTTCAAACTCCTTCCTCACGATCCTTCCTTCCAGTAATAAGACTGACGATATAGCTTCCCTTGCAAAGCTCATCCTTCTGACCTTCTTCCTTTGCAATCTGAACATTTCCTAGTCCTATCATAGTGACTAATCCCATCCAAGCAAAAGCGCTCAGTGCAAAAAAGCCGAGCACGATTCCGGTGCTCGCTCGGTCACGGAGATATGCTTGTGTTGCGGCTGGTAATGAAGAAATAGCATCAAATGAAGAAGAACTCGCTGACGAGAAGGAGAATGAGGGCGATGAATTTTTAAGCGTATTGTTGAAAATGTTGAGTAGAATGGTGGTTGACAGCGTACCGCCAAGGTCGAGAGAGAGGGACATCAGGGAGACGATGGATGCAATTTGAGTAGGGAAATATCCAACACCATGAAGAGTTCCTGGCATGAAACGGATACCACTCCCGATACCGGTCAAAACGATCATGCCGTAAATGAAGGGGAGGTGTCCGGAACGCAAGGCTACAGCGAGGATAGTCACGCCGACCGGCTGAAGAAGGGAGCCGAGGAAGAGTGGTGTGAAAGTTTGACGAGGCCATCTGTTGCAAAAGAACATCGAAAGGTAGGCACCTGCAGCTAATCCAGGCATATAATATAGCAGGTTCTTCCCAGATTCTCCAGCAGAGAAATTCTTGACGATCGAGAAGTACAAGCTGACGAAGTAGAAGACGGCGTACATAACCATTCCAGTCATGAAGTTGAGGTACATGAGAATACTTCCGTTTCGTGTCGTAATGAGACTCCATGGAATCATTGCTTTTTGCGTTGGGAATTTCTGGGATAGGAAATGGCCAGGAAGCATAAGGTGTTCCCAAAGGCAGAACAAGACCATCAGAATCCCACCCACGACAAGTGGAGCGAGGACTTTAACATCCGACCATGGGTAATATGAGCCTGCCCAAGTCAAAGCCAAAACAAGTAGTCCCATCCCAAAGAGGAAAAGAAACTGCCCTCCAAAATCGATCGTAAAAACTCGAGCCTTGAATGATTGGGACAAACTGGCGTCGGCAACTCCATCAGCGCGGGTTACTTCTTGGGCACCCAGTAGCTGGGGCCGGAGAATGAAATGCGCAAGAATTGCTCCGACAACAACGATTGGAATATTGATGATGAAGCACCATCTCCATGTAACCTCAGTCAGGTAACCTCCGATTACTGGCCCAATGCCGTAGCCGATGCCTCCAACGAGAGTGAAGATTGTGTTGTTCCGTGCGTTTTCTTTAAGAGATACTTTGTCTGCCAAGACGATTTTACTAACAATCATCAATCCAGCACTGCCAATTCCCTGGAATGCTCGACCGAGGAGTAGCATGGCAAATGCTGTGACTGGAGCTGCTGAGCAGAGGACGCTGCCTATCAACATCACCAAGAGTGCAGTTTGAAGTGCTGCATAGCGACCAAAGACGTCGGCATATTGACCCCAGAAAGGCACGAATGCTGCCGCTGTCAGGTTGAAGGCCGATACAATCCAGTTGAGTTGGGCCAGTTGATCTGCAAAATTGTTACTTGGACTGTATTAGAGCTTGAATCGCGAGAACTTACTGAAATCTGATGCGATAAATGGTGTTGCGCCAGCGATAATTGTCGTATCCAAGGCTTGTACCATGAATGGCAGAAATAGACCAAGGATGAGTTTCCATCGATATTTTGTTGATGCCTTATCGTTTTGCTTGCAAATGTTGCATTCAGACTGGCAATTCGATTCGTTCTTTCCATGAGTGCTGCCGGATGCCTCCTCTGGTTCCCCTACTGAATTTAGATTCGCGAATGGCACATCTGAGAAATCCGATCCGTTTCTTTGGTGCTCGCAAGGTTTGGGCTGACTGGGCGCTTTCCTGATAAACTTCTTATATATGATTGTCGCCATCGTGAAAGATTGAGGATAGTAGAGGAGAAGAAGATTTGGGATATGACAACGATCCTTGATATATGGAAGGGAGTGAGAAAGATGAGGATGGGAAGGCACCAAAAAGCAGAAGAAAGACTGTTCATATAATCCTTACCAACGGGCTGTTGAAAGCATAACAATTCAATAACATCCCAATGTTCCCAGATGGGTAAAGTCTGTCAAACAGGGTGTAGAGCCTCCTCCTCGAGCATACTTGCGCGGCAGTGCACGCGACGAAAGGAACTGCCTAGAATGGAATGCTGCATGCTTTGGAAAGGAGCTGGAAAGGATATGGTTTCATAGGAGGTTGCTGGTAGGGCTGGCTCGTTACTCTCTTAGCAACGCTTTCTCTAGTGCACCATCACCTAGAGATTAATTATGACGCAGTACTGTTGAACTGAGGCTGAGA